TTTTTACTTACTTGTAGCATTGTAGGAAGAAATAAATGAGGAAATAACACAGGAGGTGCTTAATGCAGTGCCTGGCACCTGAGTGTTTAATGAATGTTCTCTGCTATTACTAGGTGTGGCTGAACCGCGTCCTCCCCTCCTAGGACAGACTGGCTGGAGCTCAGCTGTACTTCCTGGGAGAAGACAATTGCTGGGTTTAATCATCTGAATCTTGGTCTTTTTGCATATGCGAATGGTTTTCTATTTGTTTGATGATAGAACCCAGACTCAGAAAAGGTTAAGAATGGCTGGGTGCAGTGGCGCACGCCTGTAATCCTAGCACTTCCGGAGGCCAAGGCGGGTAGATCACTTGAGGTCAGGAGTTTATGGCCAGCCTGGCCAACATGGTGAAACCCTGTGTCTACAAAAAAATATAAATATTAGCTGGAAACTGCTTGAACCTGGGAGGCGGAGGTTGCAGTGAGCTTAGATCATGCCATTGCACTCCAGCCTGGGGGCAACAGAGCCAGACTCCATCTCAAAAAAAAGAAAAAAAGAAAAAAGAAAAAGGCTAAGAAAAAAGTGGATTCCTTAAGGACTGAAGTAAAACAGACTTGCCTATTTCTCTTTATATCCCTGTGCCAAACTGTCCCTAAGCCCTGTGTATTCTTTCTTTTGTCATTCCGCTTTTATACCCATCTCCCCAGCCTCTTCCCTCTCTACCATCAGCCAGGACTTGACCATCAGTATATCATGCCTGATCTCCTGCACGTCTTTCTCCCTGCCTCTTGCACACAGGTTCATATTTCTTAAATCATTCCTTTAATCATGTCATAGTTCTGCTCAAATGCCAGCAGTTTGTTCCCTGTTTTTTTTTCCCCAGATGAATTTTAAATGAGTGCTGTCTAGCAGAAATATTATGTGAGCCACATATATTTTATGCTCAGCTAATTTTAATAGTTTTAATAGCTATATTAAAAAACATAAAAAGAAACAAATGAGGTTAATTTTATTTATTTACTTAGTTATTTATTTAGAAATGGAATCTCACTCTGTCGCCCAGGCTGGAGTGCAGTGGCAAAATCTCAGCTCACTGCAACCTCTGCCTCCTGGGTTCAAGTGATTCACCTGCCTTAGCCTCCCGAATAGCTGGGATTATAGGCATTCACCACTATGCCCAACTAATTTTTTTGTATTTTTACTAGAGATGGGTTTCACCATGTTGACCAGGCTGGTCTTGAATTCCAGATCTCAAGTAATCTGCCTACCTGAGCCTCCCAAAGTGCTGGGATTACAGGCGGTAAGCCACCGTGCCCGGCCAGAGATTAATTTTAATAACATATTTTTAATTTAACCCAATATATCCAAAACACTATAATTTCTACATGTAAGTAATATAAAAAGTCATTAATGAGATATTTTGCAATTTTTTCCTACACTTAGAGCACATCTCAATTCCAATGCCAAATTTTCATTGGAAATATTTGATTTCTATTCAGATTTTTTTTTTTTTTGAGATGGAGTTTTGCTCTTGTTGCCTAGGCTGGAGTGGCGTGATCTTGGCTCACTGCAACCTCCGCCTCCCAGGTTCAAGTGATTCTCCCACCTCAGTCTCCCGAGTAGCTGGGACTACTCGGGTGCCCACCACCATTCTGCCTTTTTTTTTTTTTTTTTTTTTTTGTATTTTTAGTAGAGAAGGGGTTTCACTATGTTGGCCAAGCTGGTCTCAAACGCTTGACCTCATGATCCACCCACCTCAGCCTCCCAAAGTGCTGGGATTACAGGCTTAAGCAACTGTGCCCAGCCTCTATTCAGATTTTATAAAACTTAGAATTCAGCAAAATAGATTCATATACTCAACCTATCTGAAATGTACTTAAAATTTTTCCAACGACTGAATCAAGTCTCAGCTTTAAATTTTAAATTAACTTAAAGGCTGGGTGCAGTGGCTCACGCCTGTAATCTCAACACTTTAGGAGGCTGAGGTGGGTGGATCACAAGGTCAAGAGATCGAGACCATCCTGGCCAACATGGTGAAACCCCGTCTCTACTAAAAATGCAAAAATTAGCTGGGCGTGGTGGTGCATGCCTGTAGTCCCAGCTTCTTGGGAGGCTGAGGCAGGAGACTCACTTGAACCTGGGAGGCGGAGGTTGCAGTGAGCCAAGATTGCGCCACTGCATTCCAGCTTGGGTGACAGAGCAAGACTCCATCTTAAATAATTAATTAATTAATTAATTAAATTGGAAATCCATGCTATCAGTCACAGGAGGAGCATTTCAAGTGCTGAATGGCACAGGTGGCCGGGTGATGGACAGTCCTGGGGTAAGCCGGCAAGCCTGGCGCCCTGGTGTCCCAGCTTCATGGGCTTCTTCCGCTGCATGGCCCTTCCCTTGCTAACACAGCACACTCACTGGTGTACTGCTGCCTTCCTTTCCTGGAGAGCCCATCTGCTCCTCTCCACTGTCGTTCTTTTGATTGTAAGGGTCAGATGACAGAAGAAGCATCAAATAAAGATGCATGTGGACTAGAACTGGAAAGACGTCAGGACCTGAGACAGTGCAAGGGACCAGCCCACATTCTGTGTGGCGACTCCCAGGGCCTCTCCACTTCTCCCTGGCTTTCAGCTGACCTAACGCAGCAGAATCTCACTGGACTCTGAAGACGCAGCCCTGGCTCGGAGGTGATTCTTGCTATAGTCATCTCTGGCTAGAGAAGTGGAATGGCAAGATCTTTGGTGGCTTTTGTCAGAATGGTGGTATAGCAGGAGGCAGTGAGGCCAGTGGGCATTCTGCTGTTCTGTGGCCTGGCAGGGAGTGAAATTGGCTATGCCCTGAGGGTAATCCTTAGGAAACCATGCTGAATGAAGTCCAAGACCAATGGCTGCGGCTTCTTGGCATGGCCTCTTCTATTTAAGCAGGGTGTGGCTTGCACTAATAGCTCCTTCAACACGAACCACAAATCCCTCCTGCCTTCCAGCTCACCCTGAAAATCCCACTGTTTAAATCACTTGGGTAAACTCTTCTTCCTAGGCAGCACATGTGTTTTGGAGGCCTGAATTATGTCTTTCTTTTATCTGCTAGCCTGCAAGGCCCTAGGAATGAAGCTTAGGAAGGACCAGTTCTGACGGAAGAAGGTTCTGGAATGATGGTACCTTTGAAGTGAACAGGATCTAGAATGCCCGTACTGAGGAGAGAGAAGGCATGGAGCCTAAGAAGGAGAGGGGGAAGCCCATCTTTGTGGATTTACCTAGGGCCAGCTCTACATTAAAGCAGTCTCCCTCCATTGAGTCAGATCCAAAATTCCTTTTGCCTGGTGAAGGGAAATAAACTATTTATTAACACAGCATAAACTTGCATTAGTCACAGGCTGTGGCCAACTATGGTAACAGGTTGATAAAGTTGATGACATAAAAGCATTTCCACTTGATGTGTTGGTAGCCGCTGCAAGTGTTGGACATTTTGAGTCAAAGATCTCACCTTTTTTTTTTTTTTTGAAAAGGAGTCTTGTTGTGTCAGCTAGACTGGAGTGCAGTGGTGCCATCTTGGCTCACTGCAACCTCCGCCTCCCAGGCTTAAGTGATTCTCATGCTTCAGCCTCCCTAGTAGCTGGGACTACAGGCACATGCCACCATGCCTGGCTGATTTTTGTATTTTTAAAAGAGATGGGTTTTACCACGTTAGCTAGGTTGTTCTTGAACTCCTGGCCTCAGGTGATCCACTTGCCTCAGCCTCCCAAAGTGCTGGGATTACAGGTGTGAGCCATCGCACCCAGCTAGGCCTTAGCTTTTAATGCTGAGATTTTGCCACTTGGAGGCTGTGTGACTCTAGTTAAGTGATTTAGTCCATTGCTTCTCAAACTTTAATGTGTATGCAAAACACCTGGGGAATCTTGCTTAAAAAAGCAGATTCTGGCTGGGTATGGTGGCTCACGCCTGTAATCCCAGCACTTTGGGAGGCCGAGGTGGGCGGATCACCTGAGGTCAGGAGTTTGAGACCATCCTGGCCAACACAGTGAAACCCTGTCTCTACTAAAAATACAAAAATTAGCCAGGCATGGCGGCAGGCACCTGTAATTTCAGCTACTTGGGAGGCTGAGGCAGGAAAATCACCTGAGCCTGGGAGGCGGAGGTTACAATGAGCTGAGACTGTGCCACTTCACTCCAGCCTGGGTGAAAGAATGAGACTCTGCTGAAAGAGAGAGAGAGAGAGAATGAGAAACGGAAGGATGGAAGGAGGGAGGAAGGAGGAAACGTCTGATTCATCAGGGCCTGAGATTCTGCATTTCCTTTTTCTTTTTTTTTTTTTTTGGAGATGATCTCCCTCTGTTGCTCAGGGTGAAGTGCAATGGTGCAACCTATAACTCACTGCAGCCTCAAACTGCTGGCTCCAGTGATCCTCCGGCCTCAGCCTCCCAAGTAGCTAGGACTATGGGGATGTGCCACCATGCTAAGGTAGTTTTTAAATTTTTTGTCGAGATGGAATCTCCCTTTGTTGCCCAGGCTGATCTCGAACTCCTGGCCTGAAGCAATATTCCTGCCTTGACTTCCCAAAGCACTGGAATTACAGTTGTGAGCCACCACACCCAGCCAGATTCTGTGTTTCTAACAAGCTCCTAGGTAATCCGAGTAGCTAGGACTTAAACCTATGTGTGTCTGAGTGGCTTCAACAATGAGAACCTCAGCTGTAAAGTAGGAGGCAGATGGTATGTACATTACATCAATGCACCTGTATGCTGAAGAGGTCTTCTGAAGACTGTGTGTTTATCAGGAGAGCCATGACTGAGTCTTTCCTCCATTCACAAGACTTGACCTTGGGTGGGGACATGCCACCTGCCCACAACTGCCTGAGATTGCTGCCTGGGTGACTCATGTCTTGGGAGAAGTCTTGTTGTAGTGACTTCTTAATGCGTGAGAGCTTCAGCTTAATGACCTCTGGTTGTAATTCCCAAAGCTTGAGCAGATCCATTCAACCTGGGATTCAGGCATGGTACTTAACCCTGGCTCTTCATCCTTTGCCCACAGGTGATGGCCTTTACAAAGTCTCCACTGGGTCAGTACTTGGACAGACATCCGTTTCTGGCCCTCGCCTTGCTGGTGTTCATCGTCACATCGGCTGTTCCTGTTGGGTTCTTCCTGCTCCTCGTGATCCTTACCACCCTGGTTGCTCTGGTCGGGGTCATAATACTGGAAGGTAGCCTGTTCTGTCATTCACACCCTTGGAAAGTAACTCAATTGGGAGAACGACACTTTTGGGCCATCTGTCATTAAAAAAAAAATTTTAAGGGACGGGGTCTTGTTGCCCAGGCTGGTCTCGAACACGTTTCCCTGATGCACCTGATTCTAATGCAGGTGGTTGGCGGCCACACTTTGAAAATCACTGAACTAAAACTTGGAAATGTTTATGAAAAGGCAGCACATCTGCAGATGATCTCTTCCTTCCAGCCTTTTCAGGGTCCATCCCTGAAACCATCACTGTGGCTGTGGGAGGCGTGCTGGGCTAACTGGCCACACGCAAAGCCAAGGGAAGGATGTCAGCCATGCAACACTTGCCGTGTTATTTGTTCTTCATGCTCTTTTCCTTGTATCTTATATTCTTTCCCCCCCCTACAGGCCCCACATTATGAAAAATGTATTTTCCTTGCATGTATTAGAAGGTAATTCATTAATATTCCCGTTAAGAATGGGAATGGCATAGAAAAATGGCATGGAAAATGGTACATAAAAATGCCCAATCAGACCTCAGGATTAAAATGTGATAATTCTGTAATTCTGGCTACTCAGGAGGCTGAGGCAGGAGAATCACTTTAACCTGGGAGGTGGAGGCTGCAGTGAGCCGAGATCATGCCACTGCACTCCAGCCTGGGTGACAGAGCAAGACTCCATTTCAAATAATAATAATAATACATAAAAAATAATAAAATAAAAATAAAATGTGATAGTTGTCAGGCTGGATTTTCAAGGATGCCATCAAAAGCTGCATTTAGATTTTACTTTAGCCTGCATGACCTTTATACCTGTAGCTTGTAGGTAAGTGTAAATAATGGCATTTATTACACAGTTTGAGACACTGGAGACAGTTTACCTCCCATAGTACTGCCTTGGCTAATTCCTCATGGGGGATCCTTTTGGAAGTCCATCTCTGACCCTGAGGATAAGGGAATCTGAAACTCCAACACCTATGGGCAAGACAAAATGAGCAGGCTGGTTGCAGTGGCTCATACCTATAATCCCAGCACTTTGGGAGGCCGAGGTGGGTGGATCACTTGAGGTCAGGAGTTCTAAACCAGCCTGGCCAACATAGTGAAACTCCATCTCCTCTAAAAATACAAAAATTAGCCTAGGATGGTGGCAGGCGCCTGTAATCCCAGCTCCTTGGAAAGCTGAGGCTGCGAACTGCTTGAACCTGGGAGGCGGAGGTTGCAGTGAGCTGAGATTGCACCACTGCACTCCAGCCTGGGAGGCAGAGCAAGACTCCATCTCAAAAAAAAAAAAGACAAAATGAGCAAAGTGGCCCATGTGTGATGCAATTTGGGAATTGTAGAGACTGGGGGCAACGTGAGGGCCAGCCAGTTGTTGCCATGGTTTGATGCCCACTCAGGTGCCCATATTGCCTCCTTTTTTAACGTGATGCCAGAAATCTGGGTTTTTGTGGGATATCTCCTTACTTTAAAATTCTGAGTTAGCTGTCATTACTTTAAACACAGTGACCCGGGGTCTGCCAGTTTTCAACCTGTTTGAGAGGAACACTTCTAACCACCTTCTCCTCCTAGGACTGGTCATCTCTGTGGGTGGTCTCTCACTGTTCTGCATTCTCTGTGGCTTGGGCTTCATATCACTCGCCCTGTCGGGGATGATGATGGCATCCTATATAATAGCCTCCAGCCTCGTCAACTGCTGCTTTTCTCCCAGGTAAATACATGTCCATGGAATAATTTATTTTTTTAATCTTTCCATTTTTTTTTTTTTTTGAGACAGGGCCTCTGTCTGCAGCCTCAACCTCCCAGACTCAAGCAGTTCTCCTGCCTTAGTCTCCCAAGTACCTGGTACTACAGGTGCCTGTCATCACACCCAGCTAAAATTTTTTTTTTTAATAGAGATTGTGTCTCACTATGTTGCCCAGGCTGGTCTCTAACTCCTGGGTTCAAGCAATCCTCCTGCCCCTGCCTCCCGAAGTGCTGGGACTACAGACATGAGTCAACACACCTTGTTGAATCATTTAATCTTTGCCACTTGAGGGGATTTTCACAAATAAAACCATAATCTTAGTTGATGTCCAGAAGGAAAATTCTAAGACCCAGATATTGCTTGTAGGTCCCCATGTATGCCAGGCATCAGATGGGAATTTACCATGGAATTGCAAACAAAGCAATTGCTATCATCTTCCATCAGATACACACATTTCATTGTCATAGCAACTCTATCAGTATTATTGACTCCTTTTAAAAGATGCCCATTTAGGCTGGGCCTAGTGGCTCATGCCTGTAATCCCAGCACTTTGGGAGGCTGAGGCAGTTGGATCACCTGAAGTCAGGAGTTCAAGACCAGCCTGGCCAACATGGTGAAACCCTGTTTCTAAAAATACAAAAAATTAGCCAGGCGTGGTGGCGCGTGCTTGTAATCCCAGCTACTCAGGAGGCTGAAGCAGGGGAATCACTGGAACCTGGGAGGCAGAGGTTGCAGTGAGCTGAGATTGCACCACTGCACTGCAGCCTGGGTGAATGAGACTCTGTCTTAAAAAAAGAAAAAAAAAAGATGTCCATTTAATTTACAAATGGCAAATTAGGTGGTTTTCTTTGGCAGGGTGGGGTGGAGAGGAACAGGAACAGGAGAAAAATGACCCACCAGGCATGTCTGTCTCCCAAAGCAGTACAGTATGGGAGCAATGAATCTTCTGTGCCCAGAGTTTGTCTTGATCCCCTCTGCTCTTGAGAATGTGAGTTTCTCACCAACCAAGTGTGAGCCTCGTGTTTGAATACATAGATTTTTGTTTCTATAATATGGCTCTTTAATGCCAGCTACTTCATCTGGGGCTTCAAGTGAAGCAACAGTGATCTACTTAAATGCTGGAGGGAAAACCCAGCTATGCTGTCATTACTAGGAGACACTGTTTTTGTCTATAATGTGCCACCTGCCTAAGGGATTTTCGAAGGAGATTTTTTTTTTGTAATGCTTTTATTTTTGTCCTATGTGTTGATTTTAGAATCTAAGTCCCAAGCTCATCATACTTCATTTAAGCTCCTGCTAAGTTGATGATAGTGGCTACTGAGCACTTGTTCTGTGCCAGGGATGCTCTTAAAATACTTCCCAGGCCTTATCTCATGTAATCCTTACAATTTAGTCCCTTTCTATTACAAGGAAAATTAAGCCAAGTCCCTTAAGCTGAGAGTAGCACAGAAGGGACTTAAATCCAGGTCAGTTAATTTCAAAGCCCTCTTAATCAAGATACAAAGTGACTCTCTAAAACAGGAGTTAGCAAACAATTTCTGGAAAAGGGTCAGATAGTATTTGAGGCTTTGCAAGCTATATAGTCTCGATTGCAGTTATTCAACTCTACTGCTGTAGCATGAAGGCAGCACAGACCAGGAAGTAAATGAATGGGCATGGCTGTGTTCCAATAAAACTTTATTACAAAAACAGGCAGCTTGCTGGATTTGACCCAAGGCCCATGGTTTGCCAATTGTTGCTCTATAAGAACTGATATCCCAAGTTTTGTTTTTCTATAAAACAGCCCTTGAACTCCTTACCAAAAGTTATCCTGTCATTATTCATATGTTGAAAAATATTACATCCACTTCGCTCCCAGGCTGGAGTGAAGTGGATATAATATAAAACCACTCAAGGATGGCTCTCATAGGATTGCTTAATTGACATATCTGGAGTCATATTCGCCTTTTCATAAATTGCTTTCATCACTCTTAGTCTTTTGTTTGTTCATTTGTATTTTATTTATAAAGTAGGGTCTTGCTATGTTGCCAGGCTTTCTCAAACTCTTGGCTTCAAGCAGTCCTCCCACCTTGGCCTCTGAATGGACTGGGATTATAGGCGTGAGGCATCTGGCTCACTCCCAGTCTTAAAGACATTAAAGGAGAAATGTTGGCCTATTTTGCATATTGAGGGTGATGCTTCTGAAATAAAATTCCTCCCTATCTCTGAACGCTGCTGTAATAGGGTAAGTTCTTAAATATTATATCAAAGGAAGAAGCAAAATCTGACTCCCTACTTATTAATGAAGAAATTGAAAAAGAAATCCAGGATATGTACTTCTCCTTATCCTTCCCTATTGCTGCCAACCCATTGTTTCACTTGAGCAGAGGTTCTTAAGCTTTTTGTTCTCAGGTCCCATTTTACCTTCTTAAAAATTATTGAGGCATCCAAGGAGTTTTTCTTTATGTGGTTAATTGTATTAATAGCACTTTGGGAGGCCAAGGAGGGAAGATAGCTTGAGGCCAAGAGTCTAAGACCAACCTAGGCAACATGGCAAGACCACATCTCTACAAAAAGATACAAAAATTAGCCAGGTGTGGTGGTGCATGCCTGTAGTCCCAGCTACTCAGGAGGCTGAGATGGGAGAATCATTTGGGCCCAGGAGTTCAAGGCTGCAGTGAGCTATGATCACACCAGTGCACTCCAGGCACTCCAGCCTGGGCAACAGAGCACGACCCTGCCTCAAAAAATAAATGAAATGAAGTGAAAAATAAATTAAAATAAATAACATGACATAAACTATATAGAGTAAAATGAATTAAAATAAACATAACAGAAGTTAAATATTAGCTGGGCATTGTGGTGCTTGCCTGTGGTCTCAGCTACTTAAGAGGTTAAGGAGAGAGGATGACCTCAGCCTGGGAGGTTGGGGATACAGTGAGCTATGATTGCACCACTGTACTCCAGCCTGGGCAACAGAGCTAGACTCTGTCTGAAAAAGAGTATTAATAATTATTTATTTTAAAAAAATTTTCTTCCTCAATATTCCTTGTTCTGAAATAATTATTCAATTAGAAATCATAACATAAATTTTTAAAATATCTATTCATTTCAAAGGAACAATATTACCTGTTGATATAAATAATGTGTTTTAATGAAAAGTAACGATATTTTCCAAAACAGAATAAAATTTGTGAATGGCATTGTTTTACATTTTACAAACCTCTTTCATATCTGCCTTAACAATTGTCAGCTGGCTTCTCGCTTGTATGCCTGCACCCATTTTGTTGTGCTATGTTGTTCTGGTTGAAGTATTTGAAGAAGACTCAGCCTCTCTGAAGTGTAGTTGGGAGAGGGAGGCAAAGCTTTTTCAAACGATTGTGGATATTCTGTGATAGTACACCAGAACTCCATAAGTGGTGGTTTCTTAAAGGTTAGCTGAAATGTGAAATTTTTATACTCTATTCTATTGAAATCTGCAGGTCTATATCACACTTTAAATTGACCTTTACCACGCATGATTTTGTAACTTCACATGTTGGTCGCTGGGAGAATGTTGGTTCATTGAATCATGCAAATCTTCCAAACATATTTTGAAAAATTGCACTGTTACCTTGTGAGAGAATGCGAGTGAAAAGGCATATAATAGGTCATGTTATTGTGAATATAGTTTTCATCTGAGAACCCCTGGATTAGCAAATTTCTTTTCTTTTTTTT